GAATACAAGATTGCGCAAATGAGAGAGGATTTTTGAGCGTAATTTTTGCGTGACGTCATCTTGGTGCAATTGCGAGAGAAATGCCAAAACACATATAAAAATATGTAAACAATGCAGAAAAATGTGTTAATTTTAATATTACATGGCCCAATTTTTCAGGAATCAACAAATATACAAAGATTGATTAATTAGGAACACGTAGCAATAATTTTGGATATGTTGCCCTTTAGGTAAGTACGATTTTTAGCACATGAAAAAATATATGGTGTAACAGCGTTTGCAATTTCATGTCGACCAAAAGGAAGGTGTGCAGCAAAGTGAATTTTTGGACTCGCCATTGTAAAAAGCCATGCAGAGTGCACATTTATATTTGTGGACGGTAGCCAACCACCATAAACTCCACAGCTGTTGACTCCGCAGCTTTTATTTGATGACTTTTGTACCATTTCCGAGAGGATGCATGAGTGTGGCTCTCCTTCTCCTCCATATTTTTTATCTGTAAAATAGATAGCAATATAATAATATGCATTAATAATAGCAATAAAAATTCCTATTTACCCTATTTTTGTCATTAAATGCAAATGCAAGCGCACAAGAAAAGATACATGTAGACAGCTGATCGCCAAAGCGGGCAAAAGTTGAGAGTTGCACAAGATTTTGCTTCGTTTTGCTTTGCTTTGCTTCAAACGTTTTTTATGTGAGCATACTCCATGATTCAATATTAATATTCATGTATTAATGGCCCGTAGTCATAGTCAAAATAAAGTCGAGTTAGTTGCAGCTTTTTGACATAATTTTCAATGGGATATCTGTCAAAAAAGCTGCAACTAACTTTAAAGTCGACTTTATTTTGACTATGACTACGGGCCATTGAATCATGAGCATACTCATTAATATGCCTACATCGATCTTATATGTCAAAGCAAAGAACTATCAAGCAAAGCGAAGAAAGTTGTATGTGAATCAGCCTTTAGGGCGTTCATAATGTTGTATTTACACTGGAGCTAAATCTATTATTTCAAATTGGTCACTGCATTAGTGCTGGTGATTTCATCGATAATTTTAGTTAACTCGAAAACTATCGATACAATCGATANCATGAGCATACTCATTAATATGCCTACATCGATCTTATATGTCAAAGCAAAGAACTATCAAGCAAAGCGAAGAAAGTTGTATGTGAATCAGCCTTTAGGGCGTTCATAATGTTGTATTTACACTGGAGCTAAATCTATTATTTCAAATTGGTCACTGCATTAGTGCTGGTGATTTCATCGATAATTTTAGTTAACTCGAAAACTATCGATACAATCGATAAATAAATGGAAATGTCTGTTCGAAGAGTGCACTACAAGTGTAGAAGAGTGCAGAATAACATTTAACATTTAGAGCAGGAAAATACATGCGTTTAGTGCAGAAAAACGCTCAGCGGACGCTTTTTCTTGCACTTGAGTACTCAAACTCAATTTAATTGTGGAATATAAATTCTTAAATCTTCAAATAAATTGAATTAAATGGTGTAACAAAAGTGTTAATAAATACAAAATACGTACTTCTCTCAGATTTAAAAAATAAATAAATGGGGGTGTTGTTTTATAGTGGGACCGATTAAGTGAAAATGTTATTTTCCACAACCTAGCGCTATAAGATTATGTGTAATGGCATCCCTACACACAAGTATTCGAATTAAAGTAACAAAAATTAACTACATATCGTCGTTTAAAGTACAAAACCGCGTATCAACATAATGCAAAACCTCGTTTGTGAGATTGCCAAGATTTTGTAGGTGAGAGAAAAGCCTGTCCTTAATTATCTCTTCTTTTTATGGCTATTTCCCAGTTTTTCAGTGCACGGCCGTCATTCAAACTAAGTTTAAACGCCCGATCTAGCTGGTTTAAACTAAAATCAGCCAATCAAATGTCAGCCAGCTGTTCAATTTAAACTCAGTTTACTTAATCTAATACTAGGTTCACATATAAGTAGATTATCCTCATTTTCGAGCTTAACACCCTAATCTGTAATTATAACAAGAGATTAGCCGTATAAAATTCGTCCCTTGTTAATCTGTAATTATAAAATAATCTCAGATTTAACCGATAACTTTTCGGTGTCCATCCTAGTTTTATCGATTGTTTTTGCGAAAGAGAGGAGAAATGCCAAATGTAAAAGTAAACAAAAATGTACGCTAGCAAGTAAAAGAGGTTTGTAAAGGTATTTTTAATAAAATGTTAAGTTAAAATATATTTATATTGCTTATTATAGCAGAAAAACGTGATCACGGTGGCACAGAGAAGAAACATAAATTTTCCTTGAGATGTGGGAATAACAAGCACAACAAATTTGACGGCTAATAATCTGAGATTTGCCTGTGTAAACGGGGTGATTAAAAAACTAGCTTTGATTTAGATAATATTGATATGTGAACATAGTTTTAGTTTAAACGGGCACTGAAAAACTGTCCCTAATAATCGATATTTTAATATAAATCGATAATGGCTTGATGCCAAGAGCTTCCGGTGAGCAAATATCTTTTTTGGCACAAATGTCAGTTACGAGGTACTGCAGGACGACGGTACGAGGTTTTGTACTTTAAGCGACGATAAAGACATTTGGTTGGTGAATCTCAACTCTACAATCTCAATATAGACAAACGATATTTAAATTCATAGGTGAGAAACAAACTGAATCACCTGAACCGTTTATGTCTGTGTAAAATAATTGTAAAACGCTGTTTCCACGCACCCGAAATTGCGCAATTTCGACACTCAATTTTAATTTACAATTGTTGCTTTTTACACGACCATCCCAAATTTAATCTCAATTTCGATGACTGTTTGTTTATTTGTTTGTTGTTGTTCTTTTATATTGTTTTGTTCGCTTTTTTTTTTTGTTTTTATTTGCTATTTGTTATTGACGTTTAAATTGAGAATCGTATCGCAATTTCAGCTGAAATTGGGAATAGTGTCGAAATGAGGTAAATGCTTTTTGGTCCATTTGAATGACACGCCGTTACGTTATCCGCTGACATACTGGCAGCACAGCCAAGAACGTACGTTCTCTATTTGTTTACTGTCAAAAACATCTGTGCGCAATTTGTAAATTGGCGCTTATAACGTTCAATCCGATTTTTTTTAGTTTATTTGTAGAGGAAATTTTCTAATTTGATAATTTAATAACTACTATCCTACTATAGTTTCGCGAAAACTGCGAATGTTGTTGATAAAAGCAAAACCTCATTTCAGTGAATATAAGTACGTGCTCTAACCTCAACGTGCCGCCGGTTCGGTACGCGCATTTGCAATTTCGCAGGTTTGTCGCGGATTCCGGATTTCATTAGTTGCCATGTCCATTTTAGTAGAATGCAAAAAATTGTGCTTACGGCGATGTATGGCTGCTCTCGTATATAGCATAGCTATGCAATACATGCTGCTTGGAATATTCCTCTTCTTCATCAACTTTCAAGTTCTGCATCCTTTGAAGTGGGTAGGAGACACTGTGGGTTTATTTTTTTCATTTTACACCTGGTTCAGCATTTTGCCCCTGATTGGAGCAGTTATTTTATACTGTATATTACTGGGTAAATCATTTCTGGTAGTCAAGCGTTATTATGCCACACGGTTTCAATGGTTAGTATATTCTGCTCCGCGCAAAGCATTGTTCCTCGTATTGCATCTACTGGTGGGTTATTTGACAGCATGGCTATATGCTAATTTTTGGCACGTCGATTACAGGTTAGCATTTTATATTAGCATTAACAAAATAAAAAAACTTTAACTAAAATAAATTTCCCTTGTGTAGAAATTTTGTTTGCGACTGCTACGGCACAAAGTGTATCAACGGACGTTATTTGTTCCTCGTTTGTGTTGGAATCTTTGCAGCATGCCTGCATTTCGCCAAAGAGAATTTGCGTAAAGATCCAGAATTAGAATTTCCTATCGTTCAAGAATTATTGTGGGTTCGAATTCGTTCCTTAGTCTATCGAACGCTGTATCATTCTATGTTGCGATCATTTACACCTACAATTTCTTTTGGACTCGTTTATTGGCTAATTGGCGGAATAATTACCAGTTACTTTGCTGATGCGTTTGGTGTAGATGTTGATGAGAGTATGCAGTCTTTCTTCGCTATTGCGGTAAACCTGCGCCTGTTGTTTTACGGCTGGATTTTGGCTGCACAAATCCTAAGCAACATGCATCTCATGCAACACTTTTTCGCTATACAACTTTCGGAAGAGGTCACTTTTGTTATTGAACGGAAGCCTGTATTGTGCGGTGTTGGCATTGAAGAAATAACATTGGTCGATGCAATCAATTCACCGTTAGTACCAGTGGTGCAAAATTTGGGCGCACGAGATTTATATAGAATATCCAGCAATAAAGCGGAATCGAGACGTAAAGAAATCTATGCGCTGTCAGTGCCCGGTAAGTCATATTTTTTATTAATTTTTGAACACATTAAAATAATGTTATAATACTCAGGCGCCCACCCATACAACTGGAACCAATTGTCTGCGCAATGCTTAAGTCTTATTAACGCATTTACGGAGGAGTTAGCAGCATCACTTAAAAAGATATCTGCCGTTAAAACTACACCACTTTTTGCCACCGTTAAGCCAACAACTGCAACTGACGCTGCTGAGAAAATACTGCTGCGTCAGTATAATGAAACCTTTGGTATCAGACGCATGATGGCCGAACCTTGTCAAGAAAATATTGAAACAACTATGAAGATGTCACCTGCCTGCAAACGTATACACGATAAGGTGGAGAAAATGAAGAAACAATTAGAACAAACTTTGCGCGCCGCTTTCCGAACAATACCCGGTCTGTTTTATATGTTTGGCGAAACAGAAGGAGCTCGAACCACATTTTTACTCTCCAACTCGGATACGATTTTGTGGACAGTGCAAGGTTTGGCCGGCATATGTGCTGCCTCACTGACCGAAGACAAATATGGTGTGGTGCAAGTTACCCTACCACAAGTTATCAAATCGTTGCTTGGGCTGAAAACTGAACTAGACAAATTGAATAACGTAAATTTAAATGGTAAGAAGTTGGATCGAAACTTTGTCGTACTTAAAAATGGTGTAAAACGTAGTTTGTACAATATATGCACAGTTTTTCGCGACTATTTGCGCGAACTAGTCGACAGTGCTGAAGATCTACGGAAGTTACAGTGCTATGTGCATTATATGGAGACATAACATTGAGTTGACTGCTGATAAAATAAGTTGAACACTTAGATATAGCTATTTATATGACTGTTGTGAGAATTGTACTTTCTGTAATGCAATTAAAATTTAAGATAACAATAACCTTTTGAAATTATTTAGTGCGCGTATTAAGTAGAATGAACTAAAACTATGCAGGTCTTACCACTGCGAAGCTACGGTTTTATGAAACTATTTAATATAAATTCTTTGTGATGGAAATACATAAACAATTATTAGTTAAGTAAATGGTTGCCGATTCTCATCAGTTTAAATTAACTTAAGGGTAGAGTGTACGTTACAATACCTTTAGATTTATATTAAGTTATAATATTACTTGTATTTTTTTGTCCATTGTTGGTATCGTAACCTGAGTGTCTATCGACCTAGTCACTATAACTGGTCTCATCAGTTTGCTTTTGAATTTCTCATCGTGCGGCACCTCAATTTGTTTACCTTTATTGGCGGAAATTAAACTACTTCTTTANATTTAAGTTATAATATTACTTGTATTTTTTTGTCCATTGTTGGTATCGTAACCTGAGTGTCTATCGACCTAGTTACTATAACTGGTCTCATCAGTTTGCTTTTGAATTTCTCATCGTGTGGCACCTCAATTTGTTTACCTTTATTGGCGGAAATTAAACTACTTCTTTAACTTTTAAATATTATTTACCTAAAGACTTTAGAGCCTTGCTGATTTCTTGTATAAACTTCTCCTGATGCTCAATTGTTTCTTCCATTTTTAGGATTTTGTTTGTTATTTTTATGGCCGCTTGTATTTTTTCCTCCTTTTTACGACGTTCTGAACGCACCTGTCTATCGAAAATATATTATATGTACAAAATTTGTACTTTTAAACGGTCGAATATTATTTCTGCAACCAACCGCGAAACTTCTGAAATTACGGCAGCACCACAGATTATAAATAAAACAAGTTCACCCAACATGCTGGCTCCCAAATCGATGGCCGCCGCTTCTGAAAGTGGTTTTATTGTATTCGGTTTACTTATCTTCATTGTCCACATCTTCGTTCTTGTCTCCACTCTGTTGTAGACTTTGAAAACGTTTATATTTGAATTTTCTTGTGCACGCGTTGTATTTACTTACATTGTGCCGGTGGTATGCAAAAATAATTTCGAAATGTCGCATTATTTTTCGCTTTCTGTTTTATGAAATGAGCCACATATTTACTGAGTTGACGCACTGCAAGCATACCCAGTTTAAAAACGGGCAATGCAGGCATTTTGAAAGAATTTTATTAAGTTTCAAGAACTGAAGTTGCATGCAATTGAAAACAAATTTTGCTAATATTCCTGTATGTATGTATACTTTTGAACTTCTTCACAATAAATTCGAAAAATGTAAAAAAATGACAATGCTATAATTTCTAATTTCACATTTTTTAGGCGTATACTTTAAGGAGTCAAATGATTTAGTCAACGTTGTTTTTTTTTATTTCAAATCTCAAGCAATAAAACATTTTCTGTGTATGTCTTATTAAATAAATAATATTTACAAAACTGTCAACTTCAAAATGTATGCAATTCATTGTGCATACACATTGTAGTGCATAAGCACGTTCTCCTGAGCCAAGAATCGAACCGAAAACGAAAATGCAAACGGAATTCTACATCAGGATTAAATGTAAAACTCGTACATGTACAAAGGCGTGGCAAACTTTTTAAATAATATTACACATATAAAATAACTTAAGTTATGATGCACCCAAGAATGTATTATTTTTCTGTGGTAGCCGTTTCGATCACATATTCTAACTTGGCTAGTTCGTTCTTCACTTGCAGCATTTCACGCCTCTCCGCTAGTCACTGCGCTTGTGATTGCTTTAGTTGTGGCGGAGGTGTTCTGTCATCCTCCCCGACATGTTCTACATTCACATACGGTGCTATATCCAGTTGATTGCTGACAAGTAAAGGCGACGCTGCTTGCTTGCTTTTGTGTCCATCGATAAAAACACGCGTCTCTAGGAAATTCAAAGCTCTGTAGAGTAAACCTCCATTTGGGTCATAGTCCCCATCGAAGTCTTTCACGACCTTACTAGTCTGATCGGGGGTATTTGGGTTGAAGGGCTGGTATTCGGCTATTGTTTCTCGGGTCCATTTGAATATATTTCGGGACTCTATACAGGTATAATTGAAAATGCGTGTTTAAAATGAATGGGATTGAGTGAACGAATGAATAGGGGTAAAAAACATAAATAAATGGGATAGTCTATGCTTGCTTCAGGACAGTTAGTGCCACTTTATTTGACGTTTCTGTCTTTGATGGTGAAGCAGCAGGCGAACCTGTTTCTGCATTTGCTGAAGACGCTTTGTTGTCTGCTGTGTTGGGCAAAATTGGCGTATTGATAGGTTTTCCTGAGAGAAAATATGCAAAATTTTATTACGAATATGAATGAAAAACTCGAAAATCGTAAAAATTAGATGGTTTGCTGTATGAACAGCACACTAATCATGATTGAACCGTTTCTAATGATTTTAAAAACAAAATATTAAAAATTTATTTATTAAAAGAACAACAGACAAACACGACAAAGCATCATCAGCAAACACGAATCAACTTACCTAAATCTGCCAGCGCGCGTGTCATTTCCCTGATTTGTGCATCCTGTCGTTCTAGTCGGAAAC